TGGAGTAGAGAATACTGGGCTTACAGACAATGACAAAAACCAAGGACTTTTCTCCACACTTACAGTGAAAAAAGGCCTTCCCCCAGCGCTGGCATCCTGAATTTTCTCCCTTAGAGGAAGCCACCTAAACTGTAGAAGAATAAATGTCTGTTTGTCAGTTATAGCAGCATTAGAAAACTAAGACACCATCCTACCACCACCACTCAGCTTCTCCCTTTCTGGTTGCAATGCTCTGAGCTGCCTATAGCCATGACAGCAATTCCCTGCATGGAAGGCAAGAATTCTATCACCAATGGACCCATCAATGTCCTCCTATTTATAAATAAGAGTGAGCATTGGAGAGAACTATAATTAATATTTTGTTTCAGACGTGAGGGTACTACGGTGCGAGCAGTTAAATAGGGTGGAGTGATGTGACAGTGAGGCTGGAGAACTAGGTGCAAACCATTGGATGAGCATCGTATGACATTTTTTTTTACGAATTTAGACCCCAGTCTATTCTAAAAGGTTTTAAGCAAGAGATTAACATGGTCAAATTTTAATTTTGGATAAATAGCTATGCAGCCAGCCATGTGGAAGATGAATTTCAAAGTGGGAGATGCATTAAATCTGAAGAAGTAAATGGTAACAATTACAGAAACAGACAAAGCTCAAAAGCCATTTCAGGCTGCTTCTAAGTAAATATATAATAATCACCCTAACTTCAACATGTTTAGAAGAAAATCATTATTCCCCTTCCATGAATCAATTTTCTGCCACTCTTCTGTCTCAGAAAACAAGTGGCACTGTTCACCAAGAAGCTCAACCTAGAAAACCTAAATGTTGTCCTTCACTTTATTTTCTCATTGCCTAAACTCAAGTAAATACATGGGCTTTGATTCCTATCTTTTAAACAGCTCTCAAATCCACTGACTCTTTTTACATTTCCCCTACTTCATCCTACTCCACCATCATTTTCTCAACTATTGGGACAACTGTCTAATGGACACTAAAATATTAATCCAGATCTGATTCTACAGCATGTATTTTTAAGCTTTTATGGGACTCTCAAATGTATACCATTAGCATTTCAATTCCTAAACCTCATCTATTCCCTCTTACCATGAGGCCTTCAGACCTACTGTTCTGCATGTCTGTATCCCCCTCAAAAATCACACTTGGGAGTGAACAGTTATTTATTCATCAAATCTTGGCTTAAATGTCATCTTCTCAAGGAGTATTTCTCTGATAATCTAAAATTAATGTTTTCATTTAGTTCGTTATTTAAGGTAAAAAAGTTAAAATATATTTATTAGAAAGTTACATTCCTAAGGTAGACCTTCCTCCTTGTGAGGACATTGGAAGGGAGACCTATTTAGATCTTTACAGTATGTCTCCCTTGAGCACAATGTTAAAATTGTTCACCAATGGGCCCCAGTGCAGGAGCTGGGGAGCCTTGATAGAGCAATGATTAAGTACTATGCTGCTAACCAAAAGGTCACTGGTTGAAACCTACCAACTACTTACAGACAGTCTGCTTCTGTAAGGATCACAGCCTTGGAAATCCTATGGGGCAATTCTGCTGTATTACTGGGTCACTGTGAATCACAATCTATCAGGCAGCATTGAGTTCTGTCCTAGTTCTTACAATGACATCCGTCAAGAGCTCAATAAACTTTACTGAGTGAATAAATGATGGAGGGGAAACAATCACTAATTTGATAACTTCAAATATTCAGACTGATAAAAACCAAAAAGATCAAAATATCAATTTATTTACACATTAAATATTTACTTAGTAACTTCCAGGTCTCAATAAATAACTCTTACCAACAGCCCTAGTAGAGAAGTGTGGTGTGAAGAGTTTAGTGTTCAAAATGGCTTTCCTAGCCATTGAACTTGATTCTGCTATGTGGATGGGAGGGAATATGTGAATCCCAGAGGGGACTGGCTAGTATTGCCATTAAATGGAATGGATCCCACAGCAGAAGGCCAGAAAAGAGCAAGTAAGACAATGCAACTCATACTTTGGGATCAGAGATTTTTGCACCAGCCAGACTAGAGCGGAGAGGTGCAACAACTATAGCAGACACAGCAGAAAACCAGAGACCCAACATGGGACCGAATGCACCTTGTGGCTGCTATGCCATGGAAGCAGAGCTAAGAGCCTTTTCCTCCTAGTTTGTTGGAGGACAGGGGAGGAGATAACCATAAGTGACAGGACTGAGAACTTTGTAACCCGAGCCTAAAGCCTCAACTTAAAAGTCTGAGGTGTCTGTGAGCACATTTTGGAAGATGTCCTAACTGTATTCTGCTATTAACCTGGATTATAACCTTTTGGCATCCCCAATATGGTTCTATGTATACTGTGAGCTCTTACAGTGGATTTTGGACCAGTAAATCAGTAAAACTGGTGTTGGGATGAGTATTAAGAGGTATAGGAACGTAGGGGACATGTCTGATCTCAGGGCAATTGGCTTTGTGTTGTTGATGCTGTCAAGAAAGGACAGCTCACCTTTGTGAAGTTGGTAAGTCAGATATGGCCATCCCTCTGAGGTCCTTGTTCTTTTCACAAGAAAACAGACTCATAAGCATATGACTATAGTATAATAAATTGGTATAATTGGGGCAAGAACAAAATACAATAAATACAGAGATTAAAAAGAGTATAAAAATCTATGGAAAATCTTCCCAGTGAAAGAGAATCTTCAATCTTTCAGAAGGATGAATGTGTCTGGAAATAAGCATCACACAGTTCATGTATAGATATGGAAATACATACTAAGAAAGAGCAAGTAACTTGCTCAAGGTTATATAGTACATTAACATTGTGACTGTGCTATGGAGTGGATTCTGACTCATAGCGACCCTATATATAGGGCAACTGCCTCACAGGGTTTCCTGTAAAGGCTGTAAATCTTTGTGGGATGCAGACCATCTTGTCTTTCACCTGAGGAGCATCTGGTGGGTTCAAACTATCTTTTGGTTAGAAGTCAAATGCTTTATCACAGAGTCACCAAGGAGTAGCCTTTGTCTGACTTGTTATGTGGCGTCAAGTCAACTCCAATTCATAATGACCCTATGTACAACAGCTCTGAAATCTGCTCTAGCCTGAACCAATTTCATTGTCTCTGACACACCTACCATACCACTACCCCAGTCACTGGTAACCACTTAGAAAGCAAAACAAAAAAACAGAGGCTGTTAGCTGATTCTTAATTCCATGCATAGCTTTCCAGAGTACAAATGTGCTCCACATGGTTCTCTATGGCAGAGTTTTCAGAAGGGCACTGCCAGGCCTTTCTTCAGAGGTACCTATAGACAGATTTCCACCTCCAATGTTTCACTTAGCAGCCAAGCAATGTTAATCATCTGTACCACCAAGGGCCTTATATCACAGACCTTTGGCTTTGTGTACTTTTTAGGCCTATTAATTTCTATTTCAAAAAACTTTTCACAAAATTGGTTATTTGGTTTTTTAGGTTAATAACCCTTGAAGAGATGGATCGATTCAGTGATTGGGGTAATGGGAGTAGGTGTGTAGGAGACAGTGAGATTGGCACAGGATATAACAGGTTTTAGGGCTGTTGTACATAGGGTCTTTTTGAGTCGCAAGCGACTTGATGGTACATAACAACAACAATATAAGCACGGGGAAAAAGATTTAGGAAAAGACTAAAGTAACATTCTTACAGGAAGAAAAAGGTCAGAAAAATGATAAAAATTTAACACAAATGTATAAAAAGAAATAAAATGTATAATCCCACATACTCCACCCTCAGCTATTCAACAGGATTCAATGTGCATCATGATGAGACCATTATGGAGAAAAAAGCTCAGTCAGTCACTTCAGTTTAAGACCCAGAAAAATTATTTTTTATGCTTAATAGAGCAGTTTTTAAGTTTCTAAAAATTAATTGCTCTGTGGAACTCTGGATAAATGAATTCCAGGAATGGGTTCCACATTGTTACTGAAAAGACACATGTCATTAAAAAGTTTTTATGGAAATGATAATTTTTCTATTGCTTTAAACTAAAGCTAGCATAGAAGAATCATTACTCCTTAGTTTATATATTAAAATGATATATAGATAGATAGATAGATAGATATCTCCAAATAAATCATAATTTGTAAAAATTTCTCATACCGTGACTTTAAACAACACATGTGAACTGAATAATTTACAGATCAACAGGCATATATAAAGAATTACTGAATATTCTTAATATCTAAAAACAACCTTCTAAAAAACAGAAAAACTGATTTTCCCTGTCCAAAACAGGGAAAATGGTAACATTTTTAATCAGCTGTACTCACAATTTAAATAAATGAATATATGAAAAAGAAAAGAAATGAACAAAACATGCAGGCAAACAAAGAGAAATTTGACTTGGTTGAGTAATTTATCATAAAAGTGTTCCTACCATGTATACAACATGAAAGTATCAACTCATTTATAAAATAGGCTTTAATTATTTTATATATTTCTTTAAAACAATAAAAGAGAGGAAGCTTACTTACATTTAAACACCCTGTTTTTTGTTTTCAAAGACAAGAGAAAATTGTTTCAATTATCATGAACAATCAGACTACAAAAGATTAAACATTCTTTATCTTTTTAAAGGTTTTTACATATGACATTTTCCACACTGAACAGTGTAGTAATGTAAAAAAGTATAATGGCTTTGCATTTCACAATAACATGCAAAAGTGAATATAAGGAAAAACATGTCTGCAATTAACGGTAACTATTACATATTTTTTCAGAAACAATAAAGTCTCTGACTCAAACTCTCTAGAAATCCGATACTTTGTTTACTTATATTAGATAACTGCTTTTTATTTTAGTTGATTGTTCGCAATTTTTGCCTAAAGTTCAGTGTTTTATAGAAGACCAAAAGTAAAATGTACTATGAATTCATAAGAATTTACATTATAACAATGTATTCGAAATAGATGAAAAGTGAATAACTGCAAGTGAAATTTCATTATTACTAGATGTTCTTAAAATGCTACTTACTTGGACGCTCTGCAGAATAAATTCACTTTTCTCTCTTACATCTTTAAAGGGACACCTCTTAGAAAGCATTAGCAGATGAACAAGCAGCTTATTCAAGCCATCCAAAGAAACAGCATTTGAAAACCCGTCTGATGGACGATAAGGTGTCTCTTTCACTGAACGAAGATACTCTGTTTTCCTCAAAACGATCTGCCTAATTTTTTCCAGTTCTGTCTCTCTGGTACTTGAATCTCTACTGCACAGTCCATCCCATCTCACTTCATTCTCTCCTTCAGCCATGTCAACTTGAGTTTTTCCCTTTTCAGTCTTCAGTTACCTTTCACCATGCCTTCCAAAAGCACTTTATATGTTTTAAAAGAGAAATATAAGATCAGAATAATCGAGTCATCACGAAGATACACGTCTGGGTGACATTTGGAACCTGTTGTCTCTTATCGATACTTTCCACCGATCTTCAATATAGAGTTCACCCTCGCGTTCTACACCAACAGCAAGCAGTCTTCCGACCAGAAATCAAAAGGGGGGAATGTTGGAAAGTTGCAACCTTAACGGCGCCTTTGCTTTGCTAGGAGTCTTGGGAGAAGGGTGCTCCTCGGTCTCGGTATCTGCAGGTCAGCAGATAGCCTAACGACACGGAGCTGTCAAATCCGTGCTCTTCCCAAAAAGGCTGCTAACAGTTGAACGCTCTCCAGTCATTCGGGGGTTTTGTCTGTGCAGGCGCTGCGTTCTCCCAAGCTTCTCACCCCGCCTCTCCTCCAGCACCAGTCCCCGCCCTCCGCAGCTCCTCCCAGCGCTCCAGCCACCGGCTGAGCGCCGGCGGGGACGGCTTCCCGAACCCTGACACACTGGACGCGGCGCTCCCGGACCTGAGCCCTCGGCGAAGGCGGGAGCCTCCAGCAGCCGCAGTCCCGGCAACGACCTAGGCGTTGCAGAACGCCTTTGGACCCGCCGATTCCAGACTCTCCGGAAGATGCCGCTCTCCTAGAACTCCTAGCCCTGCACCCTCGCCCTCCGCACGCCAAGCCAGAGCAGGACAGGGTTGTCCCGCACCGCGCTGGCCGCGGAGCTGGCGGAGCAGCAGAGCCCCAGGAGCAGAGCCCGCCCCTTCGCCCAGCCCCATCGGTGGGGATCGGCCCAGAGGGCGGGAGCAGGGAGGGGAAACGGGGTCCTCACCCCCCCCCCCAGTCCCTCCCCTTTCTCCGCCCGGCACTAAGCGGGAGCCACCCCTGCCCCTGCGCCCTCTTCCCCGCCCAGGCAGGAGCGACCCGCGAAGGAAAAGCCATTGGAAAAAGCTCCGCCCTTCGGCGGGCTACCTTCAGACCCTAACTGCGCGCGGCCACCAACCGCTGCCGTTTCTACGCATGCGTGACGACTAGGCGGGCGCGTGCGCCCTGGGAGTGTTTTCCGTTCTTAGTCGTTTGCTGTTCCTAGAGTGGAGGAGGGGCAAAGCAGTAAGGAGGTGTAGAAATACGCTGCAACTTCATCAACGACAGGCAAGGCAAAAAGGACATAAAGCACTACTTGAGGAAACGGGCCAGACATAAAATTAGTCCAGTGAGTAACAGCCTCAGTATTACTCCAAACGCTAAATTTAAGGCGACTGGGACTCCTCGCACTGACTTCTGGGTAATGTAGTTTTAGCCCTCATACGTTCTGTTTGCGAAAGAAACTACGACTCCCAGGGACCAGCGCAACGTTTTCTGTGATGGTCTGGGAGCGGACGGTTAGGAAGCGCGCTTAGACTGGAGTCCGCAGCTAGGTGAGCGCTTTAATCTCGGCTGCTTCCTTTGCTAGCAGCCTTTGACAAGATATATTTTCTTTTTCTTTTACTTAAGAGATTTTGGAGATGAAATCAACTAGAGGTTTTATTTTCAGTCTAGGGACTTTTCCCAGTGACTTTATAGCGGGAGAGATGTCTGCCCACGTGCATGGAAAGACAAGAATTGAGAATTTGGAGGTCTCGATCCTGTGGTTTGGAAGGATTGGCTGCTTTTGTAGTGCAAAAGGGATGAAGTCAAAACAGGTGCTCCATGCTGCTGCGGTTGCGTACCTGAGTGAAGAACTGCTAAGTAAAACAGTAGATTTCCTAGTAGAAGATCATTCATTAGTGATTATTTTGTTGTGGTTACAAAAGAATGAAGAAAGGTAGCAAGATATTTGATTTCTTTATGCCTTATTTACTGAAACACTATTATGGACAGTTTCTATGCTCAACACTAAGAATATACAGCATAAGAAGTAGACATGATCTCTGCCCTTTTGAAGCAGCTATCTATATGGTGTATAAACCAGTGTTTGAAGAGGGCTGGCTTGAGAGTAAGGAGGAATAAGATAGGAATGTAGATTAAGGTCAGTACAAGAGATAATCAAGGAATGCTAAGGAGTTAAAATCAACAGGATTTAGTGACTGTCTGGTTGTATGAGATAAAGAAGGAAGATGTCTGGAGTGACTATTACTCAGATAATGAAAAGTAATCTCTTCCGTTACTCACAGTAGAGAATAGAAGAGAAGACCAGTCTTGGAATGGAAAGAGAGTCCCAGTTTGGGCATGTTAATTATGTTGTTTGAGGAATCTCCTAGTCATTGAGGTGAATGATAATATTTCTGAATAGCTTCTGTCCATAGTGAAAGCATAATTGTTAGGAAATACTGCTGTAGGTTCAGATCATGAGATAGTATAGACATCGGCATCACAGTATCTTGAATTTGAAACCTAGCTTCACCTCTTTCTAGCTATAAGAATTTGACTACATGTTTAACCTCATTAAACTCTGAATATGCTAGACGATAAAATCTTACTTGTTTTGTGTGTAAGAGGATATTACCTATCTTGCAGAGACCATTGTTGTTGTTATGTGCCGTCGAGTTGCCTGCGATTCATAGCGACCCTATGTACAACAGTCCTAAACTCCGCTCTGTCCTGTGCCAATCGCACTGTCTCTGACACTCCCATCCCAATTATCCTAGTCACTGAATCAGTCCACCTCATAGAGGGCCTTCCTCTCCTGCGTTGTCCCTCCACCCTCCCAAGCATGATGTCCCTCTCTAAGGACCGGTCTCTCCTCACAACATGTCCAAAGTATGTTAGATGGAGCCTCAGAATCCTTGCCTCCAAGGAGCCACCCGGTTTAACCCTTTCCAGGACAAATCTGTTTGTTTTCCTAGCAGTCCATGGTATTCTCAATACTCTTCTCCAGCACCACAGCTCAAAGGCATCAGTTCTCCTTCTATCCTCCTTGTCATTGTCCAACTCTCTGATGCATAACAGGTGACTGCGAAGACCATGGCCTGTATCAGATGCACCTTAGTCTCCAAAGAGACACCATTGCTCTTCAGCACTTTGGAGAGGTCCCTAACAGCAGACTTTCCCATTGCAATGCGCCTTTTAATTTCCTTACTGCTGGTGCCAATACTGTTGACTATGGAGCCAAGCAAACTAAAGCTGTGTACAATCTCAATCTCTTCACCATCCATCCTGATGCTGCCAATTGGTCCAGTGGTGAGAATCTTTGTCTTCTTGACATTGAGCCTCAATCCATATTGTAGGCTGCAGTCCTTGACACTCTGCAGCAGGCGCTTCAGGTCCTCCTCAGTTTCAGCAAGCAGGGTTGTGTCATCCGCATAACGCAGATTGTTGATAAATCGTCCACCAATCTTGACCCCACACTTCTCCTCATAGAGCCCAGCCTCCCGGTTAATCTGTTCTGCATATAGGTTGAAAAGGTATGGAGATAGGACCATTATGAAGATTTAATTGTATATAAAATTCTTGATGACTAAGATGAGCCTGGCCCAGCCATGGTATTTTCAGTCCTCTTGATATGCTTGCAAAAGCTGAACAAGGAAAAAGGAAGCCTATGGAAGAATTAACATATTTGAATTACTCTATTGATGAAGACAACCAGAAGAGATTGGGTTCAATCCATTGATTTCTGGTTGATGGGCCCAGCGTGATTCCAGCGCACCACTCCGCTCTCTGTGAAACCAGAATGTTCCTTGGAAGCAAAGATGGTGAAACTTTGTCTCACATGCTTTGGGCATGTTGATAAGAAGGGCCAGTCCTTAAAGTAGGCCATGCTTGGAAAGGTGGAGAGAAAGATTTTTGGTGAGGTGGACTGAGACTTAATACAGTAGCAGTGGGCTCAGGTGTATCAGAGAGGGTAAAAATGACATAAGATAGGGCAGGTTTCAAATCTGTTACTCCTCGGGTCACTGTGAGTCACAGTTGACTAGATTGCACATAACAACAATGATGAAGAATATTCCAGCTTAACGGTATATAACAAGACATGATAAGGTAAAAGGAGCTCTGGTGGCTTAGTGGCTATAAAGTTGTGCTATTAACCCAAGAGCAGGTGGTTTGGATCCACCAGCTGCCCCATGGGAGAAGATGAGCAGACTCTTTCTGAGCAATTTACAGCCTTTGAAAGCACACTGGTCAAAAGACATTGAGTTGGTTTTGTCTTAGAAGCAAAGTTCTGCATCAACAACAACAACAACATATAAAAACCTCAGCAAATCTACCATTTAGGAAAATGCATTTGCCAGTCACGTAGAATTATATTTAATGTGATACACTTTTGAACTGTTTAGTTCAGCCTTCTTATTTTTATTGTATCCTCATTTTTACTGCAATAAGTACACAGAAAAATGGTTAGGAAGACTGAGGTACATTCTCACAATGCAAGAATACTATGTAGCATTAAAAAAAGACAGTGAATTCATAGAACACTACACATCCTCAACGAGTCTAGAGTATGCTAAGTGAATAACTCAATCACAAAAGAACAAATACTGTGTAAGTCCTCTATTATTAAAATAGGATGGTTATGTGGTAGGAGTGGGATAGAGAAAGCAGGAATAGAATAGATAGACAATGAACACTGTAATAGATCAGGGGAAGGGAAGATCAACCTGAAACAAATAGGTGAACAAACAATAGATATATTGCAATTAATAATCTGGAACAGGACATACATAATTGGTCAGATAAGAAGAGGAGATGAGAGGAGGGGGAAGAAGCAATTGTGGAGGATTGACAGGCAAGGGAGGAGGTAGGGGGATGAAGCAAATGGATGAGTAAGGTGAAGGGAAAGGGAGATTACAGTGAGATTTCAGTGCTGTTGTTAGGTGCTGTCAAGTCAGCTGTGATTCATAGTGACCCTGTGAACAACAGGCCTAAACCTTGCCATATCCTGTGCTTTCCTCATCATCTCTAATACACTCAAGCCCATTGTGACAGTTCCTGTGACAGTCTATCTTGTTGAGGGTCTTCCTTTTCTTTCACTGACCTTCCACCTTTCCAAGCATGCATCTTTTCCCAAGGCCTGGGCCCTCCCTTAACAACATATCCAAAGTGTATAAGACAAAGCTTCAGAGACATCTTTTCTTCTAAGAAGCACTCTGGTTGTACTTTCTCCAAGATACATGTGTTTATTTTGGCAGTCCATGGGATATTCAGAACTGTTCTCCAACATAACTCAAAGGTGTCGATGATTCTTCTGTCATCCTTAGTCATTGTCCAACTTTCAGAAGGAAGTAACAGAAAAGACTGTGGCTTGAATCAGGAGCACTTTAGCCTTTGAACTGACATCGTTATTCCTTCACACTGTGGAGAGATCTTTGACAGCACATTTTCCTAATGCAACATGTTTTTATTTTTTTTATTGATTATGGATCCAAGCAAGATTAAATTATTGACAATTTCAGTATTTTTGTTATTACTTT